CTCCGGCACGAACTCCGTGGACCTGTTCAAGCTCAGGACCTTGAGAGCAGAAACATGAAGCAGGTGCGGTGTCTCGTCTGGCTCTGCAGAGTGGCGTGGACATCGGCATCAAGTGCTCGGAGAAGCAGCGATGGAACACCGATGACGCCACCATGAAGGCGGGCCAGTGCGTCACTGGGCTCCAGATGGGCACCAACAGTGTGCCAGCCGGTCAGGAAGACAGCATATGGCACGAGAAGACATCTGTGTGACCCAAGAACCATAGCCTGCCACCCATGGGCCATGCTTCCTCAGCCTGCAAATGGGCACCAACAAGTGTGCCAGCAGATGGGCATGATGGCTCCCAGGGCCCACGGGCACATTTGTGACGCCAAGCTGGGGACCAACAACTGTGACAACTCCTCCTGTCTCTGCAGATGGGCTACATGCAGGGTGCCAACCAGAAGAGCCAGGTCTCTGGCCTGGGCTGGCAGGTATACGACCCCAAGTGCTTCCCACGAGGCCCAGTGCTGACGGAGCCGGCAACTGCCCGAGCCCAGGGAAGGCCCTGGAATACCACCCTGCAAGCTACTGAGGTCCCCCTTGCAGGGTGTCTCCCCATATTATTGCCCATCTGGGATTTGGGGTTTTCTGTGTTTTCATCTTGTTTCTGTATGTGTTCAAGTGCTTGCAGCTGAGGGTCTGCGACGGCCAGCCCAGGCATGTGGGGTAGGAGTCACTGCCACGCACACCCAGGCAGCAGACTTCCCAGCAGCCTCCGGGGGAAGCTGTTTGGGGAAGAGGCCCATGGCGGGAGGGGAACTGGCCCCAAGCTTTCAGTTGCTTTGTTCTCTTTCCTTTTCTCTGCTTATCAGCTTGTGGTTTCTGTACCCACAGAAGTTTCAGGCAATTTTAACAAAAGTTCAGTAGAACCTCATTTGTCGAACTTAATTCTGTTCGAAAACTGAATAATTTTTTCCCATTAAAATAATGTAAATCGAATGAATCCGTTCCAGGCATCCGAGTGAATCCGTTCTAGGCCCCCTGTTTCAACCTTTCACATATACAGTACATGCCTATTGTACTGTTTAATCTATAAATAAACACGTACAAACAAAAAGGACATGAAATGAAAATTTAACAAAAAGGAAAGGAAATGTTCAGTACAAAGTGAAAACTTAACAATAATTATAAGCAGCAGCAAAAGCAAAAAAACACGAAAATATTCACAGCACATATCCTGAGATTTTAGCAGTGGTAAACTGGCTCATATTCGCGGTTCTCTCCTTTGTTTGTCACCTGAGAGATGGGTGACTGATCATGCGGCATCAGCATGAAAAGGTTGTCAGGTTGAGAAGTGTTCAAGGTGGGAGACGTTGGAGTAATGAGATTCCACTGTGATTGGGGCGGGGATGGGGGACATTAACCAGCACTCCTATTATCTACTGCTGCCTAACAGCCTATCCCAAGACTTAATGACTTCAATTAACAGCCGTTCTATGACATTATATCTGCAGGTCAGGAATGTGGGGTGGGGTCAGGCGGCTGCTGTTCTGGTCCAACATGGCTTCGCTAACGCGTCTGGTCTCTTGGTGGGGGCGGCGGGAGGGCCGCGCTCAGCTGGGCAGCCCAGGGAGGGACTGCATGTGGATTCTCCAGTGGGGACTTCTCACATTGAGACTCAGCGTTCCCAGAGAGAATGTTCGAGAGGCCCCAGTGGAAGCGGCAAGGCTTCTTATGACCTAGACTCAAAGTCCAGAAATGTCAGGCTCACCACAGTCTATCAGGCAAACAAGTTACCCTCCCAGCCCAGGTAGAACAGGAGGAAGATTAGACTCCCTGTCACAGTGGAAGGAATAGCAAAGAACACGTGTCACCTTGAATGAACCAGCATGTCATCCAGGTTGGCCAGGGTGTGAGGACTGTGCTGAAAAGTGAAGGGACTGATGTTGGAGAGGAACTTGAATGTCATGGCAGGGGCTGGGGAGGCAGCAATAAGGTAGAGAATGAAGGTTCTAGAGCAGGGGTGGGCAACCTTTTTGTGAGTGCATGCCAAAACCAGCAAAATCTCTGACTCAAAATTCTTCTGTGTGCCAACCCTAGGTTTTTGAGAACATGTTACGCCTACTTGATATCTCTGAAGGTGGACGTATGTGAAGAACCTTAACAAAATTCATCGCTGAGAACAAAGATTCACAAGCGTATGTGGATGAAACCACAACACTGGTCGGATCTAGGAAGGCAGGGAGAGTTAAGGCAGAGGCATAGAAATTGTTCTTGCCCTCTCTCGTCAATCCATGTCTATGGTCTTTAAGATAACTCATTACGTAAAATTATTTATTTATCTACGATGCACCTACACTGAATTTATCTGAAAAATAAAAAAGTCGATATTAAGAAAAAAATTGTAAATGGAAGATTACAAGAGAGGGTTTCGCATGCCAGCAAAAGTTACTGGCGTGCCAGGGGTTGCCCACCCTGTTCTAGAGTCAGGTTCAAATGCAAATGCCAGCTGCCACTTGCAGCACAGGTACCACGCAGGCTGCTCTTTTCTCGGAGCCTCAGTGTTCTCGCCTGTAAAATGAGATCACGTCCTACTTTCCCACTCACGATATTGCGGTAAAGAAGAAATGGGATGGTGCTTATAAAGGGCTTCTCAGAGTACCTGCTCCAGGCATGTCTCAGTGAGTAGCGCTGTATGGTTTCTCCTGAGTAGCACAGAGAGCCAGGAGAGGGTCTTAGCACAACACTCTGGTTTCCACAGTGTGCCGGAAGAGTCGGTGTACAGCCGCCCAGTGAAGGCCTATCTTCCCTAACCAAGGACACAATAGTAAATGGTTTACCCTCCTCCCCAACCAGAAGCTAAGTAGCTCAAAGCAGCCTGCTCAGGGAGATAGATAACAGAAATCCAATAAATGCCATTCGTGCCAACCACACCCAAGGACAGATGAAGTTAAGGGAATAAATCTCATTTTGGCACATGGGCATAAAGCTGATGAATATTCTATTAGATCCTCCTCTAAAATCCTCGTCTTTAGAAAACAGATAAGACCCCTCAAGACAAAGACCCAGCGAGGGCTCTCTCTGGAGCACGCCATGCCTTTCTTCATGGTCAGGAGCGCATCTTTCCTGTTCTCTCCTGAACTCTGAGGGTCCCCAGGAGACTTGCAACCAGGGGAGCAAAGGGCAGCAGCAGCTCATCCCGGGCTCACCCCTGAGCCAGTCTCCTAGGCCCCCTTCTCTGTGACTTTTCAATGAGCCAGAGCAGCCCGCCTGGACTCACTTCTTCCCTAGAATGTTTCTAGGCCAACACAGAGCACCCCTAGGTTCTCTCCTGCTGCTGCTGCTTCTACCCCAAGCTCTTCCTTTGTTTCACTGTCTCCTCAAAATCCCCTGGACTCGTGTTTCCCACATGAAGCCCAGAACCCACACGTGCCCGAGGCAGACCCACTCCGGCGGTCCCTTTCGGGTGCCACAGCAGCCCAGCCACTTGGGAATCGTGTTAACAGATAGATTCCAGCTCAGTAGGTGTGGGGAGGGTCTGAGAGTCAGCAGGTGTAGTCAGCTCCCTGGTGACATCGATGCTGATGATTCCCGGCCACACTTTGAGACTATTGTTTCCAAATAAAAGTTTGATCCTGTCTAGCCTCCATTTAAAACCCTCCACAGCAGGCTCAGGGGAAAGGCCCCACTCTGTCCCATAGTGACCTAGTTCTCACTGGATTTTTTAGCTGCTTGTCCTCCACTCTCCTGCCCTCTCTTTTCTCCTTATTTGTTATCAATTTATTTATAATACTAGTGGTCCTGTGTACAAATTTTGTGCACGGGGGTGGGTGTCCCTCAGCATGGCCTGCAACCTCTCCAATCTGGGACCCCTTGGGGGATGTTGGGGGATCACGCCTAAACCGGCAGTCGGACATCCCTCTCGCAATCAGGGACTGCTGGCTCCTAACCACTCACCTGCCTGCCGGCCTGCTCGCCCCCAACTGTCCCCCACTGCTGGCCTGCTCACCCCCAACTGCCCTCCCCTCCTGGCCTGATCGCCCCTAACTGCCGCTGCCTCAGCCCTGTCACCATGGCTTTGTCTGGAAGGACGTCCAGAAGGTCTCCCAGTCTAATTAGCATATTACCCTTTTATTAGTATAGATAATGAAATGAAATGAAACCACCCTCCCACCCAAGCACTGGAACATGACCAGGAACCTGAATGTACCTATATGCTCCTCCCCTCTCCTGAGTTGTGATA